TTTCATCACAGCCTTTAAATAAATACATGGTGTAAATAATTAAACAACAGAACAAATTAATTTGCGCTATTGGCAACGCTAAAGAGCGCTCTCTCTATTGCTCACAAATCGCAAACGTGTGAAATTTTGACAACTGCTGCCGCTATGAAGCAGGCTTCAACGCAGCTCCTGGCCAATAAACCTGCATTTGTCGAATCTATTTAACGTACAAAATGCAGGAAATAACTTTCTCCTCGGTTTATAACTTACCAAGCCGTCACATTGTACGTAATTAATGGTATTATCCACTTCTTCCTGACGAGCACGATTTCCTCCACGGTTAGCCATTTTAATGTCAAATGCAAAAGAGAGAACTCAGAATTCACGCGAAGTTGGCCGTCGTTGTCAAGACAAATCACGTATACGGTCTGCAGAGTGATGCCAAGTTTTAGATTTAAAACAGGGTAACCAAGACAGTGAACATTATAGTTGCTTCCTTGGGTTATGCAATTCAGTATCACGATCATTTCACATGAAACGATCGGGATCATTCTCGTTGGGATTGGCAGCACTAATTTTATACTACTAGCACGAGAGAGACGACATTTTAAAAAATAACTCACTAAATGCGGAAATGTACATTTAAACGAAATAATATTCACTTAAATATTTGAATCAAGTTAAGAGCCACAAATGGCAGAATATTTGTATGCGTTTACAATCATTTGTCAGTGCTACCAAACCGTGCAGCAAACAGCAGATCATAAACTGAACCAGATCTCTATCAGGATCACGTCGTTGTCCCAATCATTGTGCAAGGAAACACAGCAAGTAGGTTTGTTCCACATGAGCCCGCGAGTGCCCAAAACAGCCCAGAAAGCGTTCCTCAAGCTAGAAAAATGGGTAACAGAGAGCGAATACCTTAAAATTCGCTCGTTCAATAAGTCAGTGTGAATAAATTTTAAACGCTCATCCTTCTACAAACAAATAGGGAGCCGATTTTGTCAAGAGGGACCGAGAAAGCTGGGCTGGAATCGTAACATCCGTTCACGGATCGAAAATGATACGAAAGAAAATTATGTCATACGTCGGTCAGTATAAACTGAATTGGACAAAGGGTACGATCACGTATGTCATAATCCGAAAAATGTATTTTTACGTGACGAGTAGTACGATATCGTATGGGACGATTTGAGCCCTGGTTTCTGAGCAAACCTGTTCTTATTGAATCATGCAGCAAACCTTCCCGTATACCTTTTTAAATTATAGTTTTTTTTTAGCAATGTTATTGAGCTTTGTACCACAATTCGTTTTAGTAAAATGGAGAGGGCGACAAAGTCTGAGCGGCAGAAGTTATAGCTAGATAGATAGATGGGTAAGGAGCGCAAATTCGGTGTTGGATTCATGGTAGGAGAAAGACTTCGACGCCGAGTAAATACTGGTGTTCACCTCGGTGGACGAACGTCTAGCTACAATCCGCATCAAAGCGAGATTCGTCAACATCTCGCTCATCTGCGACCATGCCCTGTTTTTCCGGGGGTTGTTCTCTAAACGCTAATTCGCCTTGACTGGATCACCCTCTGGTCAAGTTTGTTCACCGCCTCTTAGGCAGTAGAGTTATATATTCGGAGATGGGGGAGGTATCCATACCAAGATAGGCAAGCCACGGCACTCCACAAGGCTGTGTTCTCTCGCCACTCCTTTGGAATCTAACGGTGGATACTTTACTGTCACGGTTGCAGAGTACGGATTGTCAAGTCATTGCTGACGTGGATGATCTTGCCCTGACGGTAGTTGATACTGAAGTAGTCAGTCGTGGACACCTGGTTCAAAGAAGCAGGCCTTAGTGTCAATCCAGCAAAAACGGCCGTGGTTCTCTTTTCAAAGAAAGCGAAACCTGTCCGGCTTCCTTGAACGGCATCGCGTTGACTTTTTCGGAGGAAGTTAGATATCTGGGCGCTATATTGCTATTGGCCGAAAGTTAACTTGGCAGCGCAATATAGGAGAGCGTTGCAAGAAAGCTATAACAGCCATGCGCGCCTGTACATTAGCGGTAAGAAACAAATGAGCAACGGTTCAAAGGGTGGGGAGCATAATGATCACGGGAGTTTTACCATCAACGCCGGATAAAGCCCCAGTACCTTGCTTCACTTTCTACCTGTGGACTTATATGGTAAACTACAGGCAAGCCGTAATGCTATTAGATTAAATGCGCTAATCAAATGGAGTGGAAAGGTTTGGACACTATAGAATTTTGGAAAATCTTCCAGTAGACTTCAGGTACCTAGACCACACAGTCTCGCCTACTGGACTAAAGAATCACTTCCAGACAAGGATCCCCTCAAGGGAAGAATGGGAAAAGGATTCGGCCCTGATCTCGTATTATGACTCAGCAGCCATCTACACTGATGGCTCAGATTTGGATCTGAAGGTATGAAGTGGGGTGAACTCGCAAGAACTCTCACTTAGCCTTAGTTTTCGTCTGCCAGATCTCTATAGCGCTTTTCAAGCTGAACCAACAGCAATAAAGGAAGCTGCAAGGTGACTGATCGACTATCTTATTAATCTGAAGGCGGTGTCAATCTTTTCTGATAGCCAAGCAGCTATTGGAGCACTTAGTTGTGACAAATCGGAACAAGACGGGCTCATAATGAACTGGCAAGATGTTATATCACTAATGTTGTATGGGCGCCAGGCCACAAAGACATAACGGGAAATAGTGTTGCAGATGAACTAGCAATGGAAGCTATCCGCTATCTTCTTGCAAACTCTGGCTGAAGAACAACTTTATCGAACGGGCACATATAAGATGGTCTGCGAAGCCTACTTGCAGGATAGAAAGACATATCTCGCCTAGGCTGGACAAGCGTAGATCTCGCCCTCTCCTCCACTTGGAGCGGCCACTGCTCCGACATGTTATTGGAGTTCTCACCGGGCATTGCCTGATGGGAACCCACGATGCTAGAATGAGTTTGCAGTCAAACGACTACTGTCATGGCTGCCGTGATGAGGATGAAATCGAAAGCGTGGCGAGGGCTCGTCGACGCTCGGTCCTCCATTATTCTTTTGAATGTCTGGCTGAACTGGATTCAGCCAGTATTTATGACTTTGTGCGCTTCATCAGAGCTACGAAGTAGTTCCATTTCTAAGGTAAGAGGAGGGACATATGGAGTCTTTAATATGGCATCACAACGGGCCCATGGTGGCCTAAGTGTGCCCTTTTCCTGAGGGATGAGGGCAGGCGAGATAGCCTAACCTACTTTTTCATATTCAGCCTTATTAGTTTCATTTTCTCCGAATCGGTTCACTATTCTCTTTTGGTTTCCATGTACAATATTTACTATGGACGGATTAGAAGTTATCGAGTGAATTTTTATCGGGCGAAACTCATTATATATAATTCTTTTTTTTAAAGGAAAGGTGTTACCCCACAGGGGGTCCTATACTAATAAATACTAAAATCCGATAATCGGATCATGAAAAAACTAACGATAATCTTGAATCTTTGGATGAGAATTGATGTCGGTTTGGTTTTTTGCTTAAAAATTACTTCTTTTCATTAAATAAGAAAACCACTTGCGCCAAAGGAAGATTTGCCAAGAAAGTCGAATGACTCTCAAATAGCTATGTCCAGCCCCCGTAGGATGCTTCGCATTCCGCACGATCACAACGAGCGTATCACCAACGGCAGGAAGCCATTCTATAGAATCTTCTAAAATCAAACTACCGTCGACAATGTGTCAAAAATAATAGAAAAAAATGAAGTACCGCCACTTAATTTTTAGTCAAAATCGGCGCCTATCTTAAACACAAGTATATATGCAGTAAATATTTATTTAGTGCATACTCTTATGTATCTTTGAAGCACTTCTTATTAACACTCTGCGACGAAGTATCTAACACTTGAAGTTGTCATATGGTTAGCCATTTCCCCGAAGAAGAACGTTGCCACTTTCTCTACATCCCTCAATTTGGTTTAAAAAGCCGCGAACCGCTGGTCAAATTATCAGTTTTACTTGCGCCTACATCAAGTGAAAATCCAAAACCATGAAAACTACCGGAATCATTTTTGTGACGCTCTGTAGCATCTTAATGCTGCGCGGAACTGCAGCTCATCCTGAGGGCAACAAGGACATCACCATCGATGCAGCCATTCAATCCAGTGCGCACATTGAAATTCCCGAGTCAGTTGCAGAGGAGTTGCTTAAGGCAGTGGTAGAAGCCTTCAACAATATGAAAATTTCTGGAGAATCCAGCGTTCAAAGTCACGTTTCCATACCCGAAGAGAAACCTAAACTGCAAAGCCGCAGCCAACTCGCTACCTGTGATTTGATGGATGCCACTGGTTGGTCCAAGACTTTATGCGCTGCCCATTGTATTCTGTTGGGACACCGCGGTGGCTACTGCAACGGAAGGTCTATCTGCGTATGCCGCGATTAAATACAGTTGAGCGCCGGATGTGTTGAAAACAAAAAAACATTGAGGAAAATTTTAACTAAGTTTTAATATTCCAAATATATGTACATACATACATATGTAGTAGATACAATATCACTGAACTTTCAACGAATAAAATGTTTTGAAGAATACCAGGCAAAATTATTGGTTTACTTTTAGTTAGATTAAAAGCTGATACAATTACAAGGTTCAACAGCTACCTGAGCAGAATCAACGAGGATGTGCCCAACCAATGCCCGGCATGTGGAGAGTCGCCACATGACTCCCGGCGCCTCTTCACATGCCCTGAGAATCCCACTCAGCTAACGCCCCTGTCCCTATGGACAGCCCCTGTGGAAGTCGCACACTTCCTGGGCCTCCCCTTAGCTGAAATAGACGACAACGATGATGGATGAACCGTCCCGAACGGGGCTTAGTAGCCGCTACAACAACAACAACAAGGTTCACTGTAATGTTTTATCAATAATCTCAAAATCCGCTAATATTTGAATAGATATAATTCTTTGGGGCAAATTATAAGGTTGTAAATAATATCATTGATTAACAACGCTGAAACCAGCGGAGATGATGAACTCGAGTCCCCAGTCGAAGACGACGGAGTTGATGTACCGCCACCCGATTGTTACGAAGTACGAATAGCAAGTTCGCGGCTGAAATACAACAAATCTGCGGGGGGCTGACGGTTAGAATTTAAGTGTGCTCTGCCCAATCCAGGGTATTGTATGAAACGCTGAAGTCCACCATCAACGAATTGATCGGGCCTTATCAGTGTGACCTTAAACCACCATAGACCATTCGGCAAGTCTTGGAAAAGACTCGCGAGAAGATGATCGACACTCGCCATTTATTTGTCGACTTCAAAGCCGCTTTCGGCAACCACGAAAAGGAGTTGCCTATACGCCGCTATGTATGAATTTGGAAAACTGCGAAACTGATACGACTGCGTAAATTCACGTTGAGCACCGTTTACATGGGGTTATCATATTTACAGTGGCGATCAAAAATGGATGAATGGTATTTAGTTTTCTCATATTTACAATGTTTTTCAAGGTATAATTTATTCGATATTACATTACAAAAATATGGTTCATGCTTTAACGAAAACTATATAAATTACACTTTCAAACTTTATACAGAACTTAGAAAAATTCTAAAAATTTTTATCTGAATTTCGAGCTTTTCAACCAGAATTTTGCCGTAAACAAGCTTATAAAATTCTAATAAAATGAGTGCAAGTTTTGAGCGGCTATAAAATCGCATTAATTTTTAGTAATTTTTTTTTGCTGACGGCTTTTGGTTTTTTTTTTTTTCATATAAATAGCGAAATTTAGTAAAACTGCCGTTGATTTTTTTTATTTTTTCGCAAACGATCTTGCGCATATTGTTCCACAAGAAATTTATGTTTATATAGAAAAAA